AGTATATATGTATATGTTCTTTTTTATTTATTTATTTTTAGGTTATTTTATACTTATTTGTTGTATGTACATATATATATATATATATATATATATATATATATATATATTATTTTTCTGTATAATTTGTTTTTATTGTACATAGAGTGTGAATGTGATCTCTGAACACTATTATAAATGTTCTTTGAAACAGATTCTAATATTTTCAATAAACAAGTTCACAACGATAAAATAATTTAATTTAATTCTTTAAAAAAACCTAAGGTGTGTCCTTTAGACCACACGATAGAAGTGAAAACATCAACGAGGCGAGATTAATAATATGAAATATAAATTATGAACAATAACTCATTACAAAAAGGATGAAATGCTGAACATTTCCTTCGCTTATAATATGCAGGTCCGATTTTTAGTTTCTGAAATATTTTAATTCATATATCAAATATAACTCATGTTTGGTAAAACTCGTTATAATTTGATTTTCTACACTATTTTTTCATCTCTAATATGGCGTCGCGTTATGGTACAATGTTGAATAATTGTCGATTCCAAAGAGAATGAAATGCTGAACAATTCTCTTACTTACAGTATGCAAATCCGATTTTTAGTTCTTGAGATATTTTAATCCATATGCAAAAACACTCGAGCGTTACACATCGGAAATCTGATGGTTCAATCTAATTCATTTTCCACAACAAAAGTGCAAAACGCACCTAAAGATGTTTTCATTCAAAAAACCGACTTAAATAAATCTTACAATAATGTACTAGAATATGCATTTAAATACTTGGGTAAATAGGGAAATTGAGGTTCAACAATATTTAAATTGGTGAAGTAATCGGGGTATTACTAATTTAATATTTTTTTGTTTTCATGTAATAATAGTTTATATACAATGTATATGTATGATAACGAACATGACTTGATATCTTTCATCCGGTCGAATAATGACACAACAGTAAAATTTTGGTAAAACGTTTTATGACCTTGAATTGCCAGGAAGGTTTGTTTAATATTAATGTTAATAATAGAGACTCTAATATGTAAAATTGATAATATTTAGTTACACTTAAGGAAGTCGATTTTAGCACATAAGTTAATGTTAACACCACTTAATATTAACGGATACCTGACTTAAGACAAAATTTCAGTTTCTTACAACTATTCATTTTCTAAGAAGGCTGCTGAACATACAAATTTCGGCCATTTTGCAAAACTTGGTTTTTCAAGATTCACGATTTCACGTTCATTTTAATTTTTCACGATTCCAATACTTTTATTTACTATATATTTCAAATATATGTCGAAAAAAGTAAAGCTTAAATTACTGTTAATACCAGTTTAAAAAAATATAATGAAAAACATAAATCATGCCTTGACCCAACTTCTGATAGCTGCGGTGAAATTCAACGAACGACCATCGCCTCTCCTTATCAAATATTATCACTATTATCAGGAGAGATCATCATCATTTCCTTGGCATCATTTCTTTATCAGTAAAAAAATTCTGTGGCCTGCTGTGGGCCAACGGTTCGGGAACCAGCAACAATGAACAATAAAAGGATATTTCTTTTTACCATTTAATAACAATGGCGTATTAACTTATTTTACAGCATATTATAGGCAAAGGGTAAAATTTAGCCTTAATGTCTATAGAACACTTTTTTTTTTTTCTTTCGGAGGCAATCTTTGCTTTCCACTCTGGTGCCAACTAACTTTCTCCAATCAAGTTCTACGTTTTAAAAATAAATTATGACTAAACACGGCGGAGAAAAAAAAAAGACGAATCATTTTATTTATTTACCTCGTGAAAGGAGAAAAAATATGAAAGTTCTTAGTACTGAAGTATGTTAAGAAACATTTTCTAAGATTTCCAGCATCCGATAAGTTCTTGCAGATCAACCGATTTTTTTAATTATATATAATTTTTAATAATTTGAAAATAATAAGTTCAAATATATAAATAGCGTCATCTGTTTATCATAATCGCCTTTTAGATGAATTCCTACATTTTAAGTTCAAATGCAGTATTTTCATACGCGTATCCAAAAATCTAACTCTGAAAGAATAGAGGATTTTCTTTAATTTTTAGACATATAGTTTTAAACAGGATGCCTTCTTCATAATATCTATTTTAAAAAAATCATAATAAATGTTTCTAAATGTTTTCTGGTGATTAACTATTAATTAAAGTTTCGGCACCTCGGACTTATCCTCTAAATTTTTTGCAGAGATGGTTCCTTTATTTTTATAAGTAAATTTCTAAATATAAGTAAAGGCCTTTATTTTTATAAGTAAATTTTTATCTTTTAGCATTATAAATGTATCAATGAATCTTTATCTATTTAAAAAATATATATCTATAATAATCTAGGCTCTATAATAGATTTAGCTATAATTTCACATTTAAAAAAATCGTTACTAATATAACATTATGTTATTAAGTTTGGAAATGAAACATACAGAAATTAACCATATTTATTTACTGACGTTTTAATCATTTTTAAAATTGAAAAGTAATTATTTTTTACCCATACAAAGTTAAAAAACTACAAATACAATAAAAAATAAATATATATGAATGTTACTACTTTAATTCAGACCTATATATCTTCTAGCATATACAACAATTAATTTTCTAAGATAAGTAAGAAAGTATTATTTCCAGAAAGAACTACATCCATTCTACTCATAAGAAATATTGCACAATAATTTTTTTTTCTGATAACTTAATAACAAAAATTCCCGCTTATGCGTCTGAAAAGAAGATAATCGAGGGACTCCGTAAAATAATCTATTTTTTAAAGTCCTATTAATGGTTATTTTTTTATTATATTTTATACTATTTTCGTAGATATTCTTATTGTATAAATTATTAATTATCACTAAATGAATAAAAAAAAATAACAAAATGAAAATATTGTTATTACATCCGAGATACAAAATGGTTCTGCTAATCAAAGTGTTTCTCCATAGTTTTTCTTTTTTTTTTCGAAATCGTTTTTATTTAATGCTAGGACAAAAAGAAATTCACCCACAAACTTTGCGGTCTAATGACTCCAGTTTTGTATTAATATTGAATATCCACTCCTGAAACTGTAACTGTAAACATTCGGTTGTTGGAAAGCTTTCTAAAATAAACAAGAGACAAATTAACTAGTTACGAAAGTGATAAAAGCTATTTTATGCAAGACTGATTCTTTATTTTTTTTTAAGACAGTGGACTAATTTCGAATAGAAAGTGATTGGGAACGTTAAGATATCAATAACAAGTTGTTTCACAAGTTTCAAAACTTGTGTCTTCATTTACGGTTTTCCTTTGGGTGATTGTAAAGCCTTCAAAATGGCGAAATTTCCTTAATTATGATTTTATCAATATCGACATATCCGGGCACTGCCAATCAATTCCAAGCTTATAATTTAAAACACTATCTACAGTATTCTTTAGTAAGAGTTTTAGGACGAGATAAGAAAACTCTATCTTTAAATAAGCATTAGTTTAAAACAGAACATAAACATAGGCTCAGCGAATAATAAAAAAAAAGGCTTAAATGATTTGTCTCGGAAAATCCTTAAGAGATAGCGCAGTAATCCGATGAAGTCTTTTACTATTGGCCTAACGGATCGACCGTGGCTGAAGGAAGAGCTCTTCGATCGAGCACTGTAAGCGGTGAAGCAAAATGGTTACACAACCAGAAAACTATTACACTAATTGAAGTAGAAAAGAAAGTCTGATTTTGTTCACCAGGGTTTGAATAACATTAAAATGTCAATGAATTCGTAATTGTATGTTTAGTTAAAGGGTTCAAAAAATCGATTAAGATCATATAGAACGCTAAACATATAATGGACCAATGCTTACGGAATCCTTACCTGACCGGCATTAAGTATGACAATAAAAGGGGTAATTCAATAGGGCTGTAAATATCGAACCAAAATATCCATAGACATATTTCTTATCGATAGTATTATCGAAATAGTAGATCGATTCATCGATAAAAATTTAATATTTAGACAGTGCCGGCGTCAGAGTGGGAGAGTGCCGGCGCCTCTTACCACTTAAGGGGTGCTAGCCAATAGTTAGAAATAAAAAAAAAATATAAATCGTATCAAAATAATTAATTTTAACTTATCAATAAAACAAATGAATTAGAGAAATATTAAATGAAATAAAATTCAAATATTACATTATATAAAACAGCTCAACAAATAAATTAATTTTTTTTAGTTTTAATTTACTGTAATTGGATATATCGTGCCTAAATGTTTCATATCTGAAGCCGGATTCAAATATATCCAAAACAGCAGCAAAAAAAGAAACAGAGGTTTTACACCTTACTGTATTTTCAGATAAACAAACATGGCGTACATAGGGAATAGCATTTGTCTTAAACTGTTTCAATTTTAAAAATAAAAAAGGAAACACAAGAAATGTCTTAAAATCTGTCAAAGGTAAGGTAATGCATGAAGAAAATAAATTAAAATCTTATGTTTGATTTAAACCTTTTTTAATTTACAAAAACAGTCAAGAAATTCGTAAAAGCATCACAAGAGCTAAACATGGATTTTTTAAAAATTTCTCATGAAAAATCAACAAAAGATGGATCAGTCCCAAACAGAGGGACACAAGCACAAGTCTAGAGAAACACCCCATTAACATGTTCATATTTCTCATAGTCAGCAAAACCAATAAAATATATATATATATATATATTTTAAATAAATAGATATGTTAACTAATTTAGAAAAAAAAAATCTGCGTTCTTCATCAAACATTTTCTCAACCCATCCAGAATGTTTTTTTCTTTTTTCATCTCTTTTTATATTGTTTTTTTGTTAATTTTGTCTATTCTGGGTCATCGCTGTTCTCATCACCTCTAGTCAATTTCTGAAGCCAGAAGTTTTTTTTTTTTTAAATCACTCTTTTTTGTCCTTTAGATAATTATAGCCTTTTCAGAATTATTAATCAGATATTAATGAGTATTTTTTTTTATTTACAGGAAAATGTTGAAGACAGGCCACAATACCAGCATTTGGTCGTCGATCCACTTGATTCCGAGGAAAGCGCACATACAAAGCGAGAAAGTGTTGTCCTTCCTCAACAAGAACAACAACAAGAGCAGCAGCCTCAAGAACATACCGTTCAACTTAAGTTGCCACTGCAACTCGATTTCGACGAACTTGCTGGTGTAAGTTAATTAATAAATACTTTAACTTTTATCACTTATTGTTATAATTTCCATACTGTGAGTATATGTAAGTGGATACTATTTAATATCAGAATATTATAGATGTACTTTGTGAAGAAAAAAATATATTTTCAGATATTAAAATACCTTTAATGAAATATTACGTTTGTCATAATGTTTTTCTATTTATAAAATATTCACAAACAGGAGATCTCTAACATCAGGATAATTAAATAAACTACATTTTTTTTTTACTATTTCTTATTGAGGGGTAATCACATTTGTTAAATATCATTGTGTGTTACTGATATTTGTCCAATGTGATTTTCCCAAAACAGGTACGCCATAAACAAAAAAAAAAAAAAAAATGCATTTTGTTCAATTATTACGACTAAATATTTTTATGATTAATTAAAAATGAAATCCTGATGAAGGAGATATCTGAAACCTTGGAATTTTTAATCTTTTATTAATAAAAAAATATTAAAGTGAAAGTAATTGTTCAATATACATAGATATTTGAGCATATTGAAAAATACATCCGAATAGTTGAAAAAAATACATAATATGAAAATATATTTTGTTTTTATAAACTATGCAAACAAACTTAGATTCAGTACTTTGTAACGAAGAGCTGTTTCTAAGTCAACTGATGTGGAAGGAGATATTTGACTAAGATTATGGTTAGATTTTTTTTCCTTAGTCAATTATTAGTAAAGAGGCTGAGGGAGACCCACTTTGTGGAGGCTGAGTATGCCCAGCAGGGTTTCTTGACCTGTGTTGACCAGCACCTCATATAACAGGATAAATAATTGACTGCTCTAGCCGGATTCAAACCCTGAACCTATAGCATTGGAGTACAGTGACTTACTCACAGAGCTCCACCATTCTCCCTTTTTTAGATTTATAAATTAAAATTTTTTTTTAGAAAAAAGTACACTTTGTTTTGCAAATGTAAAGTAAATCATAAGCGTATTTTACAGCATAAAATTAAAAAAGCATTTGATTGATTTTATTTATTTTTTTTTAGTCTATGATCGAAAAGAACCAGAGGTCAAGAATGAACTGCGTCGTCGAAAAAAGGCGAGCAGAAGAAGTGACTGACCATCAACCCAGAACAGTTCGCCTTCCATTCGGCGTTAACATTTCTTCTGATCCTCGTTACGAACACATTACTGGTGAAAGGATGGCCATTTTCTGTGAAAGTGGTGCTGACCAAAGGTAAATGAGGAAGTGACATTAATATCACATTATTGCATCATAATAATTGATAAATATAATTATGAGTTTTGACAAAAATATAGAAAATATACTAGTAGAAAAAAGTTTTTAGTGCATAAGAAACTTAAAAAAAAAATAAACTATTTACAGACATGTGCCAATGGAACAGCAGATGGCACCCATAGTCGTCCCTATTCCAATTCATCAAATGCCAATGCATCATAATCCCTATCCCCAGGTATGTAAAAAACATTGTATATTTAATTAATCATAATGAAAATTAAAAAGAAAAAAAAACCTAACATTAAGCTAAAACTATATAAATTAAGATGACCATATCACACTTCGACTAAAAGAGATTAACCAAATAGAAATGGTAGTTGATTCTAAAACAATGCAGTCTTATACTGTTTGTGTAAAATAATCTTATATTTTATCTTAATTTATTCTTCTTTTTTGTTGGAAAGCTGTTTAATTTTCTATGTTGTTGGCAATAAAAACTTCAAAGTTTGAAGTTAATAGTTTATTTGCCATAATTCATTCCAAGTTTTTGACGTTTCAGAAAATTATTCTCATATTTCATAGCAATTAAAAAACCTAAAACCTCGTGTACGTCTTCAACGTAATTTAATATTTTTGTATTATATATAATAATAAAAAAAATAATTTTATCTAGAATCGATTTTTTAAAGACCAACAAAGTTGTCTAATTTGCTGATGATATTGCACTATTTTTACGCAGCAAATCAATCCAATTTATCAAATGGAAAATGCAAGAGGCATTAAACAGAGCAGAGAAATGGTCGAAAAAAAACTGGGTTCGTTATCTCTGCAATAAAAACTAAAGCGATGCATATATGTCGCACGAGAAGTTGCACTCAAAACCCTCAACTTTCAATGGGAATGAAAAATATATAATTTACTGAAGAGTGGAAATATTTAGGGATATATCTGAATAGGCATTTAACTTTGGCCAGATACAACAAACGTCTCAAGGATGACTGCTTAAAAGGATTGGGCTTACTAAAGTTTCTTTCACACTCAAGTTGGGGAGCTAATAGGCTGAGCCTCATGAGGATATACCAAACTATAACAAGAACTAAGATGGATTACGGCTCGGTACTCTACGGTTCTGCTAGAACATCCACTCTGAGGATGCTAGATGTAGTCCACAATGCTGCACTTCTGATATGCACTGGGGCTTACTGAAAATCGCATGTCCAAAGCATTTATATTGAAATTTCAGAACTTCCATTGAAACTAAGAAGAGCATTTCTCTCGGCAAGATATATAACAAAGCTGGCCTCACTACCAAACCACCAATTAAATCCAATTAGAAGCAAGCCATCAGAATATAGCTTCTTTGGAAAGGCACTGGAACTAAGAGTTACTAAATTAGTTTCAACGTTCGACGAAATTATGAACTTAAATTACATTAAATTTTGAATTACATTAAAATTTCTATTTGAACATCGCCAAATCCCCATGGTGCAACAACAATGTAAATATGAATCTATCACTTTTTAAGACCTGCAAAGACTTGGTAAATCCCATAGAAGCTGAAAATCTGTTCCTGATTCTTTTAGAGAAGTTTCATGATTACAAAATCGTGTACACTGATGCTCTTAAATGCGAGGACTCACTTGTAGTATATTCAGTGATAGCAGAAAGTGAACATCTCCTTTTTAGATGGCCTGGAGCATATTCTGTTTTCACTGGAGAAGCGACTGCCATCAAGGAAGCTCTTTTAAATTGCCATGGGGCCAACTACCGGAAGATAGCTATCGCCACCGATTCAAAGAGTGTCATACTGGCATTTAACAAACAGAGGCCAAAACACTCAGTAATAGCTGAAATTTTGAATATTGTATGAGAAATTAACGAAAAAGGCTGTGATGTGGGTTTCATTTGGGTTCTATCCCATTATGGGATTAAAGGAACGAAAAAGTAGATATCACTTCTCAACAGCCCAAATTGCCGACAGCAGTGAAATAAAAATCTTGAATTGTGTCCCTCGGGAAGATTGGATAAGGGAGTTTAAATCCTTGTTGGTGACCCAGTGGAATGAGGCCTGGAAGAGCTGCCCTTCGAAATTACTCCAGATAAAAATGAAGCCCAGGGATCAAGACGAGAGGAGGTAATATAGTGCCGCCTCAGGATCGGCCATTGTGAGTTCTCGCATGGATATCTTCTCCACTGGAAGCGCCTACCTGTGTTGCATGTGGTGATCCTAGAACAGTCACTCACTTATTGGCTGAATGCCCGCAATGTGCACCTTTAAGAAAAAAACTGAAGATGAGTTCCAATATACGAGAAGTCCTAGAAGACTCAGAAACTAGTGCCCAATCTCTTATAAAATTCCTGAAAGAAATTAAGTTTTACCCCCGAGTGTAGAAATATAAGAAATGCCAATGACCCTTTGGGGTAGAGGGATTACCACAATAAAAAAAAATAATACCTGGAGCATCATATTTATGGGACTAATAATTAGGTATCTGCTAGCTACTTGGGGATGTTATTGAACAAAGGTCACAATGTATTATATACAATACAAAAACTTTAAATTATATCAAAGGAGCACATGAGGTTTTAGCCATTAATTGCTGTGAAAGATGGGAATAAAGTTTTGAAGAGGGAAATAATTTCCTGAAGCATCAACAACTTGGAATGAAATATAAAAAACAAACTATATGTTTTATACTCGGAAAATTTCTTTTTTAGAGGGCGGAGTGGCCGAATGGGCTAATGCGTGTACAGAGCACCACAAGTTTTCCGACACCCAAATAACCTAAGTTATAAGAAATTAAAAAATACCAGTGCGCGTCCCAGATTTTATATCCCCCGCGCTCACATTCTGGCTCGAGAAAACCCTGTATAGCCTAAAAGGCGAGGTAGGGAATAACGATAAAAAAAACACAAAAACTTGGAAGTTATCATTGCCAACAACAAAGATCTTAATTTATATTTTATATTTTTATTATTGTATTCATATCTTATATTTATATTTTATCTCAATTTTGTTTAGATTTTTTTTTTAAATCAAGATGTCTAAATTGAAGAATAATTTAGTGGTTAGTTAGACCTCTGGTCATGACTTAAAATAACTTACTATGGGTAAAGTATTGGTAATGTTAACTGCAAGCTTATAAAACTTATCTTTAACTTTATTTCAGTCCCAATAAGTATAATTTATTTTATTTTTCAGTTCTATGTTTCTGATTACAAAATAAACCCTATATACAGTGGTGTGAAAAAAATCTACGAACAAACAAAATTTTTATAAAGCGCACCAGTGATAGACAGTTAAGAACATTTTTGTCTTTTTTGGCTTATGTCGCTGTAATTATTATAGTTATAAACTTTTTCGTTAGAAATTTAGAATATCTAGGGTCTCCTTTTTCTATTTAACACTTTAAAATTGAAAAACATATTCAGTTATGCAGGTATAATCACCATTTAAAAAACAAAACACTTTTTTGCACTAGTAATGGACACCCCGAAATTCAATTGTTCTAGTAATGGACAGAGGGTCGGTAGCATTAATGGACATACCTCAGAAAAATTCTAAAATCTTTATTTATTTATAATGAAAATGAAAAAGATAACATAACATAAATGTTCAACTTACTTTTAATAAAACTGTTAGTAGGAAAATATAAAACACACTGATCTCAAGAGCACTATAGAAACAACAGTGATAGACATTCTAAAATTTTCTTTTGGGAACTTTGTTCCTACAGTCATCTATAGAGGGCATTTTTTTTCAATCTATAAAAAACTGGAACCTTTAAATCAACAAGGAAGCTTATTATTTACATTTAAAGTCCACCCTGTCCATCACTGGGTCCCCTGTCCATAACTGGTGCTTTCAACCTAATATTAATTAGAAAAAAGTTCCCAAAAGAAAATTTTAAAATTCCTATAATTCTTGTTTCTATAGTGCTCTTGTGATCAGGGTGTTCATACATTCTTATTAACAGTTTTGATAAAAATATGTTGAACATTTATCTTATCTTAGTTTTATAGTTAAACAAAGATTTTAGAAGTTTTCTGAAGTATGTCCATTACCGGTACTGACCCCCTCTCCATTACTAAAACAATTGAATTTCAGGGTGTGCAAAAATATGTCTTTATTTAATAGAGATTATACCTGCATAATTGAATATTTTTTCAATTTTAAAGTGTTAAATAGAAAAGGAGACCTTAGAGATGCTAAACATCAAACGGAGAAGTTTATAACTATAATAATTACGGTGACATAAACCAAAAAGGACAAAAAATTCCTTAGCTATGTCCATCACAAGGGCGCTTACCATAGTTTTATTTCAGAAAATTGGAAAATATCATTTGTATCTTTATCCTGCTGAAAAATAAAATTCTGCCCAATCAGCATGAAAGGATGCCATGGTACCATTTTGCAACCAGTTTTAAGTCCATTCACAAGATGTCTCCAACTCCAGATCTATGAATACGCACTGAACCATTAAGAAGCCACGTCCTTGTTTTATTGTTGGTTGCAAACATTCATTTGAAAATTCTACTCTAGATCTTCTGAGGCATATTACTTCCTTTCGAAGCCAAACATTTCAAATTTTGACTCATTTCTCAATAATAATTTGTTCCTTTCTTCTTTCGTCCAATTTTCCTGTTCTTTGGAAAATTTAAGCCGCTTTCGCTTGTTTAGTGATTCTAAAATGGTTATCTTCTGGTCAATTTTTAAAGCCAAATACTGAATCATGTCTGTTAAGTTAGAGTCTTTCAATTTTACATATTGTTGAAGAATTTCAATAAATTCTATATTATTAATTTATTGTAGCACTTTAATTTTAAAATATAATTTTCAATATTCTACTGACAATTAATAAACCTCTTTGACTATTAGCAGGTACCATTCCACCCCAACGCCATCCCTCAAGTACCACCTCAGTTCCACCCTCACGCTCATCAAAGGCCACCAATGGAACCACAACAACACCAGATGCCACCACATATGATGCCACAGCAGATTCAGATCCAACCACACCAGATCATCCACCAAATGCCACCACAACAGCTCCCACCTCAGTTCCACCCTCACGAGGCTATCGTACAGCAGGCTATTCACCAGATCGAACAGCAAGCGCTGCACCAATCTCCAGAAGAGCATCAAGTCATCATTCAGGTAGGAGTCTTTATACCAATTCATTTTCTTGAATGAATTGATCAGATCCCTCTTGACTGGACATTAAAACTAGTTAATACCAGATTGATGACTTTCTATATGACTTTCTTATATAATTGACGCTAAGGTGCAGGTGGTACATAGCATCCTCATTACACTCAAGGCTTTGCACGATTCCGATCCTGTACAAATGTCTTTGAAGGTGATCATTCCCTGGTCATCATGCAGAAACAAGCCACTAAGACTTTCATAATTGGGGTTTATTTAATTGGTCCCTCTGTAAAACATTTACATTTTTCCCAGATGTAGTTTTTTTTTTTGTTTTTTTTTCCCCCAATTCCTAATCTCTTCCTTGTAAAAGGATTTTAAAATCCTTTTACCAGATTTGGAGGTCAGCAGAGGATTGGTTTGCGGCATTAAACATTAAGAAATAATATACAGTTGGAAAAAAAAAGCTCTTTGAGCAAAATCTAGTAGTTTAAAGTATCATTAATAAATTGTATCCATTCAAATTAATAAGAGCCTATTTTGATAAATGTATGGTTGATAAACACTTAAATATCACTTATCAGTGAAAACCCTCTATAGTGAACAAATTTGCCAGACCCGTGTTTCTACTGTTAAAACATTTTATTATACATCAATCAGACAAAAAAATATAATTTTAATGTAAACTAATTAATTTACTTTGAAATACAATAAGTACTAATAATTCTGTAACAAGAAAAACTATTGTAGTGTCAAGAACTGATTTCTGATCTAATTTATTCTAGAATATAAATATCTTAAGAGTGAAAAGAAATTATTTGATGTTCTATGTTTAGCTTAACGACAACGGCCAATTCTCAAAACCATTTCACGATCTATAGAATCTATTGTAAAACTTACAGATAGATTACAATAAGCTTCAAATAAACAAATTAAAAAGTCAAGCATACTATTTATATTTTATTTTTCTCATTAATAATAAACAGAAAATAATATTTAGACAATTGGGTTTTATTGTATATTATGAGATTCGATAAAAAAAACAAAAAAACATTTGATGAAATTATGCACTAAATAATATATTGTACTAAATGTTAAAAAAACTGTTTTATATCTTAATCAGGAATGAAAAAATTAATTTTTTTTATTTAATCTATAATTGAAAAAAGCGAACAATTTCTGCCTAATAATCCTAAGAGAATAATGTTATTTTAGTAATAATATATGTTATTATTTTAATGCTTTAAATAATTTTGTTTTAATTCATTTTTTCTTTTAAAATTTTAATCTGTAACTTAGAAAAATAACTAATTGAATATATGAATTTTTGAATAAGTTGTATTACTATTTTAAAAAAAATTAAATAATATGCTTCAAGTAATAACCCACAACCAAATTAATAATAAAAGTGACTCACTCAACAGGAGGAAGAAATTGTACCAGTGATGAGAGGGTTCCAACATCCAGAAGTTCCTGCCGACACTGTGAGGCCTCCACCTCTTCCATTCCATCGTCTTCCAGTACACCTACCACATCAACAACAACAGCAAATGCAGCATCAACAACAACAACAACAACAACAGCAAGAATCTCAACCAAGGCCTCATTGTAAGTTCAAATAAGTATGACTAAAAAAAAATTCTTCAATTTCAGCTGTATAGATAATTACTTGATCTTTCAAATGAATTTGTGGAGTGTTCTGAGAGATGTTTTACAGACGCTAACTCATAATTATTTTTATCTTCAAACTTCAATTTATCAAATCATTTGGTTGCCGGACAATGAATGTTTTGCACACACGTTAGTCTACTTGGCCAACCTACCTTCCGCTCTCCTCATCAAAAAAATATTCTATATATTTTTTTTATCTTCATAAATGATCAGGACCTAGACATTTGTAAACAAAATGCCAGATGGTTACATCAAATTTTAAGGATCACCCCGTATGAAGTAACCAATAACTTTGGAGTAAAATTTCTAAACAATTAGCTCAGTAATCTCTGAGAATAACCAGTGAACATTCTTTTTTTTATTAGATTTTTGAATTCTAGGAAACTTGCAATTTTTTGGAAGAATAGTCTTTTTTTTTTTAAACAATTAAAAATCTTCATTATTGAAAATAATGAGCCAAAATTAAATAAATAAGTTGAATAGAGAACTTTATTAATTTTCTATATTCTTTGATGATCAGGTTCTTTGCCAATGACAGTTTTTGTATAAATAATTTTATTTTACACTTTAAATCAGAGAAGGTTTGTGAGTGTACCTGCATCAGATTTATCTCTTTAATTACAACAACATTAATTAATAACATTAACAATTTATTACTATTACTAAATATTTTTCTGATTGTCATGTAAACTTATTGTGTTCCTTTTATCTTTATTTACCTATTATATTTTGTTAATAGAATATTTTTTAAATAGTATCTAATTGATAAAAGACCTGATCATCAAAGAAATAAAGGACTTATATCTGTCTAATTAGAAAAATGTCTTGACAATTGTTTTTTTACGAAAATATTTTAGCAAAACGAATTACAGCATAGCCTTCAAGATGAAAACTTATTTGTTTTATTTTATTTTTCAGACGTCCAACCAAGATCAGTGAGGAGCGTCGATAATGTACTCCTCCACAGGGACAAGAGGGTACGTCGCTGCGCTTGTGACTGTGCCTGCTAAACGCAAACCACCGAACTAACATTAAATAATATACATTTTTTTCTAATAGTTTTAAGAATGAATACTATGTAAATAAAATGTAACCCTTAAAAAAATGTAAAAAAAAAATATTGAAGCTGGTTAAATATCAAAATAGATGAGGTGGACAGTATTTTAATCATAGAAAACTGAGAAGCTTGTTGTAAGATGCGTTAGGTTTTGTACAAAAAATTCGACACGAAATGAGACTTTTTTTATGATAAAGAAAATTATTTTTGTAGATATATTATGTTTTGTAATTTTATTATTCAATAATGATTGAATAGACTAATTTTTTTTTTCTTTTTACAAATTGTGTTATTTTTTTCATTACCTACTTAATCGTATTAGTACTAAGTTGAAGTTAAGGTTTCAAATTATTATAAACATTCATACATTTATCATCAGAAATATTCGCATCAATCATAGAAAGTAGTTTTTTTAATATTATTTTTTAAAAAATAATAAAAAAAATGAATAAATTTTTAATGAATAAAAAAATAATTTGTGTTAATCACTCTTGAGATTTCATTAACAATAACTATGTATAAACAATAAATAACAATTCATTCAATACATTGTTTGTATACTTTCTGCTCCATTACTTTGTTCTACAAGTTGATAATAAACAACATCTACAGATAAAAATATGCATATTATTTTTTATAATTATGAAGCATTAGTATAAAATGAATAATATAGAGAATATATTAGGAAGCATAACCAGATAAAAGAAAACCTATATTGTTTTTACAAAAGGAATTAATTCCTCAGAAGTGAGGGAGAGAACAACCAAAAAAGAAATAAATAAAAAGAAAATGTTGAGAGTTCATATGATGTGTAAAAATAATATAATTATTGCGAAGTGAACACATTTAATATTGAATATTTAAAACTAAATTCATATGCATATTTGTGTAGTTGTAGAAATTGTTTTTTATTTTTATGCACACAAATATACTTAAACGTATCTGAACAATTGAATATATTACATATTTATAATCATTAAACATTATGGCGAAGAAGACTGTCTCCATAACTTATGTGCATTTCTATAACTTTTCCAGCTAAAAATGAAATATATTTTTGATTTCTTACTTTAAACATCATCAAAATAAAAACATGTTTTAACAGCCCGAATACTTATGTAAAAATGTCTATAAGAAAATATTCTCTATAAAATATATTTTTACTTATACTTATTAAATTTATTTTTTAATAAGTATATAACTTTGCTGCCAAAAATGTGATAAGAATATGACGCGAGATGGAGGGGTGCACATGAGGGTTGAATGAACCATAAAACTCTACGATATCTTGATATATTATTATCCCTTTGTATAAATGAAAATTTAAATAAAACGAATATTTAGGTTGTGATAAAAATCACATGCCTACATCTAGGCCTTAGCCGACTTAGTTTACTTATTTGATTCTTTCATATGAATGATGAGATATACTCCTCGTATGATAAGGAGTATATCTCAATGAGAAGGATCCCAAAGAAGGTATGTAGGCAAAAAAAGAGAAGTTTTGAAAAAAGCAAAATTGAAATGTTCCAAAGTGATTATCATTCAAAGCTGACATGAAAATTCCACAAAGGGGTGAAGGAATTTAATTTCCAACCCAAAACAACAATATGCAAAAATAAAAAGGGTGATCTGATCAGCGATCCATCACAAATCATGGAGACGAGTAGAGTGTATTTTAACGATTTATTAAATGTTCAACAACCATTCCCAAACAACGTAGTGCGAAACTGCCCTACAGTAGGAAAGGAAGAAGGTAATAATAATGATGCAAAGCCTCCAGATTATGAAGATTTTGTAGATGTAATAGCCGCACTAAAATATAATAGGTGCCTTGGTCTGGATAGTATAGATGCAGAGATAGTGAAGAATTGCAGAGAGCCTTTGTTAAGAGAGGTCTACAACCTTCTGATGGAGGTCTGGATAACAGAACAGATGCCTAAAGAATGGGCTATAGCTATCAAATGCAATTTTTTAAAAAGAAGAAAAAAACAAACAGCGACAATTAGAAGAAGAAGAAGGACTTTTATTCATCAAAATTACAAAGTTAATATTTTTGGATTTAAACTGAAAATTAGATATGCTTCATCGTTTATTGATCGTCAGAGGCGAACAGCGACAATTATAGAGGTATATCATTGTTAAGTACAGTATACAAAGTACTTGCAGTTATGCTGAATAACAAAGTTCAATTTTGGTCTAAAAAGATTTTGGGTAAATACCGGTGTGATTTTAGGCCTGGTAAATCAACCACAGACCACATTTTTTCGATAAGGCAAATTTTAGAAATAACATGCAATCAAATAGACTTACATCACGTTTTTATAGATTTTAAATAGGCATATGATAGTATAAACAGTGGAGCATCACTGATGGTAATGCCAAAATTGTAGATTCCCAAAAAATTGGTCACTTTGACGAGAATGACCCAAAGCGGTAGTAGATCAGTTGTGAAGATCAATGGCCAATTGTCTGAGAATTTCGAGGTGAAAGATGGGCTTAGGCAAGGAGATCCTTTATCCCCTACTCTATTTAATAATGCTTTAGAGTATGTAATAAGGGCGATCTGGACATATCCTGGTGGAAAGATTTATAACAGAATCACACAGTATCTGGCTTATGCTTATGATGTAATTTTTTTTTTTTTAATTTTAGATTACTTGTTTATTGGTAAATATTACAATCTGTCTCAATAAAGGACACTTATAATGGAGTTCAGAGAGCACATTCAAACCATGATGTTGTAATAATGGCAAAAAAAAATAAAACAGCATTAGAAGAATTTGAAACGGCAATCAAAGAGGTAGGATTACAAATAAATTAACAGAAGACTGCTTACATGCAAATGTCAAAAAACTCCAGTGAAACAGTTGAACGCTTCACAATTGGTAACCACACACTAAAAGTGGTCGAAAATTTTAAATATTTGGGAGAACTAATGATCCTGACTAATGACTACCAAAAATAATGAAATGGGTGGGAGAATTGAAAGCAAGGATGGCTGCCAGAAATAGGTGCTGTTTTGCTATGCGAAAAATATTGAATTACAGAACAAAGATCACGGTGTACGAGAAAGTCATCAGACCCGTAGTCACCTATGGTTCTGTGAATTGGGTGATCTCCAAAGCTTCGGAAAAAAGGCTACTCACATGGGAAAGAAGGGTTCTTCATCAGGATCAATGGCCCAATGTGTGAACATGGACAATGGAGAATTTCAACTAATAAAGAGCTGTGTGAGATGTATGTGAGGCCGGATTCGGTCTCATTTGTAAGGGAAAACCAAATCAGAGGGTTGGGCCATGTGGCAGGTATGCCCTGAAACGTGAATCCCAAATGCTTGCTAGAGGATCGGCCTGCTCGAAAATGCCTGAGATAGCTGGATCAGGTGGACAGCTTGAAAAGGATGGGAATTCGAAGACGGAGAATGCTCACTCAGGATATAAGAGAGGCATAAGTTCTAACAGGACAGTAGCACCGAGAATAAATAATTAAATATTTGATTCATTCATGTAGCTTATTTGTTATGAATTTTAATTAGTCTGTTTTTTACTTTAAATTACCTTATATTTCATTCACATCCTACTAATAAGTCAATTCTAAATCACATTGCTTCAATCTATATATAATTTATAATGATGTAGAGACGGTTGACCATTGATGTAATATGAGAAGGAGTTGATTGGGAGATGCGGTCAAGTTAATACAAAATTAAAAAAATAGAATTATTTAATTTTGTATTAATTTGACCGCACCCCCTGATCAATTCCTTCTCATATACATAATTTAAATATACATAGAAACAATAATAAAAAGGTAAACGACAAGGTGGAAATCAATAAGGATAACTCAATGAGGTTCTAGAAAGAAGTTGGATGAGAGATCTCCATATCTAATTGGCAAGGTAGAAGCAAGTCTCTGAAGATTATATCAGAGTGCCAAGATCCTTCATGCCTTGTTATGTGTATTTGCAAAAACACAGTTATCCCACATAAGATAATAGTTTAGTTAAACTATAGATGAATATAACAAGTTAAAATAAAAAATCAATCGTTCTTGTACTTGGTCATAACTATATTTCTTTATCATAGTCATTATCAACTTCACTTCTTCGGAAGCAAATTCTGCCATTCTCTCATAGATGCCAAGTGTTTTTCCCTATCATTCAATGCCCCTGTAATCAATTAAAAAATTAACAAAAAGTCACATTAGTTTGATAAGTAAAGTACTCATTATTTCCTAATTGAAGTATGTTAGAATAGCAATACAACTATAAGAAATGTATAAAAAGGATTTGAAATGAAATTGCAACATTCATTTTTAATCAGTATCGGTATGAATGGAATCTTTATGGAGTCTTTTTAATTTTTAAGCAAAGGTTTCACAGAATTTTTATTTTCAAAATACTTTTAATTAAAATTTCTGTTGATTTCGTCAAAAAGAATACCTGAAAATTGACTTTTATTCTTAGGTACTCAAACAGACGACAAATTAGAATGAAGTAGCGTAAGTGAACCAGTGGTGGACATAGCTAAGGAATTTTTTGGCTTAATTATTACAATTATTAGCTTGTCCATTGGACATTTAGAATCTCTATGGTCTTTTTTTTCTATTTAACACTTTAAAATTTAAAAAAAATATTCAGTTATATATTATGCAGGTATAATATCAATTAAAAAAAATAACACCTTTTTGTACTAGTGATGGACACTCCAGAATTCAAATGTTCTAGTAGTTGACAAGAGGTCAGTACAAGTAATAGACATACCTCAGAAAATTATAAATTTATTTAACTATAAAGAAAATGATAAAGATGAAATAACATAAATATTCAACTTATTCTTAGTAAACCTATTAGAAGGAAAATATAAAACACACTGATCTCAAGAGCACTATAGAAACAACAATGATAGGCATTTTAAAATTTCCTTTTGGGAAATTTGTTCATGCAGTTGTCAATAGAGGGCATTGTTCTTCAATCTAGAAAAAACTGGAATCTTTAGATCAAGAAGGAAGCTTATTATTTACATTTAAATTCCAACCTGTCCATAATTGGGTTCCCTCTCCATAACTGGTATGTTCATCCTAATTCATTTAAAATAAATTATAACTAAAAATTTGTTATTATTCATTTAATGCAATTTACAACTGTATAAACAATACAACTAGTAAAAATGCACACATTAGAAATAATGACATGAACTAGACTTGAAGAGATACACGAATAGATAGTGCTGCCCAGTGGTAGCACTCCCTATTGAATTCTAGGTGAGAAGATCACGAGACCATCTTCTTTTCAAACGCCTAGGGAGATTATCAGAAACCGAGGAAGAAGCAAGGCTGGAAACAAGTGGGACTGGAGTTTATCATGAAAGGATAGGTATCTGGCTCGATCTAAATTAGCGGCATATGGAACATTAAAGTATTTATGAATGGTTTCATTTGTGAAAAAATATGGGGCATTAAGGATTTTACGAAAGATTTTGGATTGTAAGGATTGGATACGATAGGAATTTGATGGTTTGGTAGGGCCCCAAAGCTCAACTCAGAATGTTCATGTAGGTCTTATTATGGTTAAGTAGATGAGTGTTTTGTAATTAATCGAAAGTTTAGCGCATTTGACTAGTAAGTGTTGGAGTAGTCGGAAACGTCAAGCAGTTTCTTGTTGTTTCAGTCTAGTATACGGATTCCTAGTGAGATGCTTATCCAAGTGGAGTTCTAGATAGCGGATTTGTTCAACATTAACAAGTGGAATATCATTGAAGGATATTGTAGGACAAGAAGTTGTAGGTTTACGACTAACTAAAATCTGAACTCAATCACTGTTAATTTCTCGCTTAAAGTAAATATTTTTTAAAAATTTAAATAAATTAAAGTTAAACGTTTGTTATGTGATAAATAGGCAGACGCAGTCAGTTTATAAGATTTTTAATGCCACATTGCTACCAAAGCTTGTGGGTTATCATCAGTGCTGAAAAGTTTATAATTTTATTGACAGATGCAGATTTTTCAATAAAAATTTCAAACAAAAGATAAACTTTTAAATAATGGACATGTTAAACAAGACAAGTCAATTATTTTAATTTTCAAATTAATATTCAAATTAAATT